TGAGACATCTTTATCTCGGCCATTGTCCAGGTGTCAGGAGAAACGGGGCACCGCGTCCCGTCGGGAATGGATCGCATCGCGTTCGTTCATACGTACACAGACCGCGCTTTCGTGATACGCGCTTCTCCATAGAGAACTATTCCCGCATGCAATCCATTTCCCATTCGGTTGCTACACCGTTCAGGGAAAGCAAAAGATTACGGTCGGACGGATTGAGATGGATCATCGACAGGCCATTCCGTTACCGGATGGAAGACGAGGAAGAGAAAGTGGATATGCGGACGGAGAAGGTCCAGGAAGGACGAGACTCGACGAGGATCACGCACCGTTCCTCCGCCGGTTATTGATTGCATGGAAACATCTTCATTACACCATCTTGGGTCACCGAGGGCCGATGATACGACATCGAGAAATACGAATAGAAAGCCCTGAGAAGGAAGAATGAACTTTGTACTCTCGCTCGGATAATAATACGTGATGAGGAAAAATATGAAAGAAGATGACAAGAAAAGAGCGATCGACAGTTCTACGAAGGAAAAGGAAAGAAAAATGAAAGTCTAAGAAAGCCATGCTCTGGTATGGTATACAGCAGAGCAGAAATGTACAGCGAGGCACATATTTTGTACGTTAAGAGGTACAAATGTATGTCGTAAAATACGTTCGTTGAAAAGGTACCGAAGCAAAATAAGGTACAAATGGTACCCTTCCTATTCAGAAGGTACGAATGGGGTCTTTTCTTTGGGATCCCATGTGCACCTTATTTCGGGCTTAATGGTGTTTGAAAAATCTGCATATGAACCTCAATTTTCAGCTTTGAGGAGTTTTGAAGTGAGCCTTAACGACACCGTCATCCGTCACTTCGCCTCCAACAGTCGACGAACTGTCACAGATAAGGCGGTTACAGCTCACCAAGGTCTCCACGACGCAACAAGACGTGTTGGCTGTCTCATAAGCAGCGCCTTCATGGAGACAGTAGAGACCCACACTATTTTTAAGGACATTCTTTCAAGTTTTTTTAAAGTTGAAGTTTAAAACTCCTAACCTGTCAGTTTACACTTCGCCGTCCCCGTGTAAAACCCCAGCATTTAAAATTTTCCAGAATCATTGATTGCCATTGGAACACGATAATTATACTTTTACCAGCTACTACTTTACAAGTATCACGATGAGAAGAATGCAGGGAAAGGAAGAAAACTCTTCTCCTAAGGTCCGATGCGTCCCGACTCGAGTTCGAACGTTCGGGGGAACATTTACGCCATCTTATGCCTATTTTGAGTATTACATTGGGAACCCAGACATCTGCGTCTGCAACGTACCAATGTGTACGCACAAAGGTACGTAAGGAGGTACGCATGCGGACCCGAAGGACACAAATATGTACGTCTCGCATTTGTACTTCTCCTTGTACGTTTCTACTGTACATCGATGTGTTTGCATGCGCACTGTCGAAGCGGGAACTAGATTTTAATGATACTCATTTTCCCTCGGCAGTGCTAATATTCAGAAACGATTGTAGTTTTCCTAAAACGCATAGAACCGTGAGCAAATTTAGATTTTGGTCCTGGAGCGTCGGACTGAAAATGGGAGTTATGCCGTCGGCAGCAAACTGATCTGTCGTCGAGCTTCTCACGGAAGCACGAAACGGAACCCGCTCTTTTCGTCGACGAAACTTCTCTTGTACCATGTGATTTCACTCTCCACGCAAACACGCGATACTTGTTGGCAGACGAGTTGACGAATGAAAGCGAACCTCTTCGACCTTTCGTTATCCGTACCCATTTGACCCTTCATCCGAGAATCCCGTTCGATCACACGGCTTTAACCATGCCCACTTTGGAATCTCATGGAGAATCTAACTCACCCAGAGAGCCAGAGTCTAATACAGCATCATGCTGCATTCCAAAAGAGAAGTCGCTTGGGCGTTTCCCTCCTCGAGGAGATTCAGGACGTCTTCAATTCCAATTCTCACTGCGAAACAGCCATGTATGAATACAAAATGGAGTCTGTAACCACCTATTGCGACCAATCGACCGTCGATTCGTCCATGAATTAATCCCTTGTTCGGTGCGGTCGTTGCAGCCAGTTGCATCCGATTTATTGAATTTTGCAGGTAGCTGCCTGAATTTCAAGAAAGGAAATGACAGGTGCTCGAAATTTCAGGCCGAGCGCCTCATATCTCAGCTTTCATCGGAAGTCTGTAGTTCATTTGGAAGTTTTCCTTGAAATTATCAAGATCGAAATATGGAGAAAGACTTGGGGACGTTTTATTATCTCGATTTTACCTACTGAGGATAAAGATGAGTTTGCTCTATTGCTCTACGTACTCTTTCCCGCCCCCCCCCCCCCTCTATCATTGCCATTCTGTACGAAATCAGCCGGAAGGACATACCCTATATCATTATCGTTATGTCATTGTGCGTGTGAAGATGGGTGAGAGTTCCGGGTGACGCAGACCGTGGGTGGAGCCACAGGGGACGGGAACCAACCGGACACGAACATTTCTCATCCATACCAATGAAATCCCTCGGGGGCAGAGATCTCCCTATCTATATTTTACTCTTGCCTAAGCATCGGTAGGTAATAATAAAAAAAGATATAAAAAGGAACGAGAAGGTCGGTTATAAACAATAAGAGGTTTAACACGGTGTAACCCATTGGAAGCTCGCCTTGGGCAGGAGATGGGCCAGCGGGCCAGCGGGCCAGACAGGCCGCTACGAAATGGCATTACATAATTGAGGGGCTTGGATTTCTATCGCCGCACGAACTGCATCTCATCACCCGCTCTTTCTCTTTCTTCCTCTTGCGAAAAGCCTGCAGTCTCGTCTCCGAGTACTTGATTACCGAGCTCTGGTACTGCAGATTATGATTCCCAAATCCATGCGTGGTCCTGACATTCGAAGGGCACTCGCGAGGTCACGCACAGTTTCGGTAAATTTATGTGACCATAATTACACGTTCGTCCTAGATTTTCCCCCTTTTCTTTTCATCCTCGAGACTACTGTCGAGGACGGGGTGATAGGGAATGACGCAATCGAAGAACCGTTCATCATGGAATTCGTCTGACAGAAGCGTGAAGATCCCGTCGAGAAGGAGAATCCGTAATGAAGGACTCGGTCGAAGGGAGTCCAGCAGCAGCAGCAACATGCCCTTCCCGACGTTTTTTTAAATCCTTCCCTTATGGCTGCGCAATTCCAAGGATCGGTATAAGAGAATTATACAGGATCGCACGGGTGCCTGCTTGTTCCATCAGATTTAAAACAGGAACTGGAGTGGCGTTTTGTTTTTCAGAAATATTGCCGACAGGTTGGGAAAAAATACTTCACTCGCCCATCATTTTGTGCTACGGTTGCCGGAGATAAGAGCATTTTAATCTCTCGATACTGGAAAGAATGCGAGCATTTCTTCATTAACCTAAACAGGATCCCAGCCACAGAGTTTTCTGTGACCGGTCCTTCCCGCGGGACGGTTTTTCTTTTTGCCGGGTGAACGTGCATTCCGCAAAACAGGCTTTTACTTTCTACAAACATGCAAAGGCACAAGTCAGGCGCACGTGTGCCCGGAGGAGTTGATGACTGAAATGATGACGCCAATGCTCTCGCAGGCCCTGGGGGGGGGGGGGGGGGGGGGGGGCGCGGGGGGGGGGGGTTTGCAACCGAGTCCCACTTTGCCGAGGCTTTCCCTAGTAATAAGAGTGAGTTCCAGCCAAGTCCTCCCTTTGACCCTAAGCTTCCTTCCTTTTTCCTTCCTCCCCTTCCTTCCTTCCTCCCCCCCCCGATATCAGGACGTACAAGGACAGACAGATGCAGGGAAATAAAGGACTATGGCACGAGTCGAGGACGTTTTCACAAGGACTTTTGAGCATCCCAAACAGAAACACGAAAAAGACATGCACGAGCGATTTTCCGCATGGGACGACGAAATGAGGCCGAATCTCTCTTTCGAACCCCTCACTAGACTTCGACTATTAAGGGACAAGATTGGTAATTGTTGTTTCAATGGTAACAGACAAGGGAGGTGTCACGACCATCCGTGCATCCCACTGCATCGGCAGGGAACGTAGTACTTTACAAAAAATATGAAAAATAAGGGAACTAGCTCGTGTTGATTAGTTGTAATAAGTTTGGCCGGGGATTCTCTGGCCAAACTGGGGTCGGGGGACGCCATAGCTATTTTCCGGTGCAGGAGCTGGAGCCGGTGCTGGAGCAGGAGCCGGTCTAGGTTGAGATGGCCGAACTGCAGGTTGAACTGGACGGACTTGCGGCGCCGGTTGGATTGGGCGGACTTGGGGTGCGGGTTGGATCGGGCGGATCTGCGGTGCCGGCTGGAACTGTTGAACCTGGGGTTGGATGGGAGCCGGCTGGAACTGTTGAACCTGGGGTTGGATGGGAGCCGGCTGGAACTGTTGAACCTGGGGTTGGATGGGAGCCGGCTGGAACTGTTGAACCTGGGGCTGGATGGGAGCCGGCTGGAACTGTTGAACCTGGGGCTGTTGAGGCCTTGGCTGAGGCTGTTGAGGTCTCGGCTGGGGCTGTTGAGGCCTTGGCTGGGGCTGCTGGGGTCTCACCTGCAAAATAGTACGAGGAAGAAATTATCGGGCCTATATCCCATTTCCTTATCCGGGTTTCGAGAATCCCTTTCACCAGCTCCTCCATTTGAATATCATAATGTGTTAACCTCGCCGACACGAAAGCCCTCCATCAAGCACTCAAGGTGGATTGACGCAAGAAAGAATTTCAGGATGACGAAAATTTTCCTATCCGGTGTTCAATAAAAGCGTCCTTGACGGGAGCCCTTTTTAAAAGTCTCGTGGATGTCGACTATCTTTTCCAATTGAGACGAAAATACCGTGATACGTTACATCATTATGATTAAACCTTTGAGGCATTGCATGAGAGTCATGGAAAAGTCGGTTTTTATCTCCCACATGGATCGATGGTGAAAAGAAAGGATCCGAGGGACCACCCCCGAAGGTGGTGAAATCCTCTTACGAAGAGCCCACATTAGTCTGAGAAGAATTCCCACCGTTTCTCATTGTCCGTGACAGCGTGACCTGTATAGGAAAGCAAAGCAAGATGATGATGATGATGGGGGATTTCAGATCGCACCTGAGTCTGGAACTGTCCGGCGCCTTCGGGGACTTTCCCGATCTCGTCGTTCAATCCATAGAATCCCTCGGACGACTGACATTCCACGTTGAACCACCAGTCGCAGGTGAAAGCTTGTTGATTGTAGATGGTGCCATTGGGGCAGAGGAAAGCGACGGGTCGGAGACCTTGTAGAGGGTCAGGGGCACATACCCAGAACACCTGAAAACAGACACATGCGAGGCTTTAGTGCCGTCTTGCAGCGGATTGCGTAACTAGGTCTTCCTTATTTCCTTCCCTCCCCTCACGCAATATCCCACTCAGACGATCCGAGACTTCGGAGAAAAAGCTGAAGGTCGTGCGTGCAGGTCACCCTCGGTCGACCCCGAACTTCGTTGCAACCCGAATCTTTGCCCGTAGTCTGCCTTAAATGCCCCCATTTCAGAAGAACTCCAGGGAACGGATTTTTACTGCGAATGGGATTATGCCATGACGTACGATGACGTGAGGCGACTGCGATGAGTCATGATGGAAGTTCATGCGTGATGTTGCATCGTCGGTACAACCACCTACGTATCCCCATAAAGGCTCATCATCCACGCCGTAATGACGGTGGGAATGACACATGGAGGAGGCATGATAATGGGAGTGTGACCGATGGAGAATGCCTTCGGGCCATCTCATATCCATATCGGCCAGGGCCCTTGGAGGAGCCCAAGGCTCGTTCCATCTCCCTTTCGAGAGGCATGTGGCAGCCTGCACTGGCAGGTGGTGGTCAATGGTCGTGGTGATGGTGAGGGTTGAACTTTGACATTCCCTGATTCATATCGATGGCCCAAGACGTGTCTCACATTTCCCCTTCCACTTTCCCTTCTTATCTCTTTCCGCTTTTGCTACGTGAAACGAAAAAAGTGTCGTCTCAACGTACGTTTTTCCTTACCGAGACTTGAAATTGTGATTCGATTGAGACACCTATCGCTCTGCACAGTAACTTTCACATTCTGTCAAGAGTGAGATGAGGTTAGCCTCTCTTGAGAAAGAGGTTAATGAAGGATATCTAAGCGCAGTAACAAGAGCTTGTTCTACTTAAGACTGCTTCCTCTTACGTCGCCAAGCATCATCATGGCTCATGAGAATAAAACTAAAGACGATGATAATCTTCCATCTCCCGCCGCATAATAGCTAATGAATCAGGCCGTCTACGGGTAATGGAAAGGCAAGGTTATGAATGTCTCGATGGTGCAATCCGATTCGAGAGAGAAAGAAGGAGGAAGAGTGATGAATACTTTATAAGAAACAGTTGGTTACTCCGCTGATTCCGTAACTTTTCGCGGGGGTCATGCCACTAATTGGTCTGTTCAGAAGCCCGGTTGACACATGCCCCGAGGCTATCACGTCCCCTGCCTACTTTATTTGCAATCCTATGGTCTATCGCCTGTGGTCTATAGACTACCATGACCGTACCGAAGAGATCATTTCCCCACTTATCCTTGCAAGGCCGTCGCTTCTTAGGTGATCTAAAAAACATGACGGGGTTTATTTTTACTCTAGCCACCGTCATGATAGAATTACAACACGAGTTCGATCTGGGACTCTCTCCGGAAAATCTTTGCCTGATGAAATTCCCGACAGCCTTCTATTAGCTATCAACAGATTGGGAGGGGCGAGGGCCTTGCAAGGATAAGTGGGGAAATGATCTCTTCGGTACGGTCATGGTAGTCTATAGACCACAGGCGATTGGGGGGGGGGGGGGGGGGGGGGGGGGGGGGGGGGGGAGAAATCGTGCAGGTAAAAACGCAGAAAGTGCTGGGATACTTACTTTAGACAGAAGATTACGCAAGAGGTGAACAAACGAATTCTACAAAAGACGTGGGTACTTACTTTTACACACATATCTCTCTAATGATCAAACGTGTTTCGAGTCAAAGGTTGAGGCTGAAGAGGGCCTCAAGACCATGCATTTTTGTAGGGAGCTTTAATGAGAAAACGCAAAGCTCATCGTCTGTACAGTACCTGGCACCGTGCCTGGACGTCGGCGTAATATCCGCCAGTCACTCGACCGTTACAGGAGAATCCAGTTTCCGGTTTGTTCTGGTATGAGAAGATGGGGTAATCCACGCCAGGTTCGCCAGGCACGGAGTCCCTCAACCAATCTAGACCTGCATGGTGGTCGTGATCGTGATCGTGCGACTGCTGGGGCTGCTGGGGCTGGGGTTGTGGTCGAGGTCGGGGTTGGACAGGTTGAGGTTGGAAGGCCGGTTGCACCGGTTGAGGCTGGAAAGCCGGTTGCACCGGTTGGGGTCGGAAAGCCGGCTGCACCGGTTGGGGTTGGAAAGTTGGCTGCAACGGTTGAGGTTGAAAGGCAGGTGGAATCGGCTGCACTGGTGGGGGCGGTTGGAATGCAGGCTGCAGTGGCTGAGGTTGGAAGGTTTGCTGCTGACTCACACCTGTATCACATCGAAGCCCAAGAGTTAAAGTTTTGCCATTTCAATTTTCTTAACTAAAACAATAGACTTTGCCAATATTCCCCCGAGATAAATGAGGTCAATAAGGCGAAAGACTTACGTCACGACTCATCTAAGCTACTTTATTGGACAATGGCATATCAATCTTTGTTATACGAAAATGAACTAAAGAAAAATGAGCGTAATTGTTGCGCTATTCTAAAAAGTAATAATTTTGAGTTAGGAGATTTTGAACCTTAATAATCGACATAGAATTAGCTTAACTCATAAACTCATACTCCATAACAAATCCTGTAATTCAAAATTAATATTTCTTTAACATCGAACTTTTACATAGCTATCAGTTAATCTTTACTTTAATCTGATGCATTCTTTTTGTGTTTCAAGTTTTACAGGGTAATGTATGATATCGGTTAAGGATTTGTTTCCACTCAGAATGCGATACTTTCGGGTGTACATATGCCTGTAGAGGATATAACACACAAATTCAAGGATAGCTCGATAGGATGAAATAGTTTGTTCAGTTAAACTGTTTTTCATAGTTTTATGCTGGTTTTCGTCCGGTATGTTATACATACTGTGGTGAATATATTTGAAAACTTTTAGTCTCTCGACTCTCTATGCGATATCTTGGAAATCTACTAAGTCGGAAGTTGAAGACAATCCTGGGAATTGTCGTAGCAAAGGAAGAGAATAAGATGTGAAGACTCACCAGCACCCTGGCCAAACTGAGAAAAGGGAGCAGTTTGCTGAGGGGGTCCATATGAAGGGAAGGGTTGACTCGGGGGAGGTTCCGCTCTACACACCGCGGCTTCAACACACACAAGACAATCCACAGGTACCGTATGATGACGTCATCAAGTCTCCTTACATCATACGAGATGGGGTTGCTGGGGGGGGTTAGTGTTTTGTTAAGCTTGCGGTTAGTCGCTCGGTACATGCCTGCGGTTGGCATACATACATGCATACTTGAGTACTATCCTTGCCGTTTGCGGGTTTATCAGTGTAGTCCAAATGGAGTGAAGGTGCTGTTGTAACACTTTTTCCTCGTCTTCGAAGTATAAAAGGAAAGGGCCATAACTTCCCGGGAAATAAGTCTGGAGCGATCCAGTATCTTGTGAAACGTGGTCCATCGGGGATAAAGGAAAGCGATGAGACGTCTAGAGAATATCACGCATGAATGGAGGCAGGAAAGCGTGCAAGGAGGGGGGGGGAATGGCCATTCAAAGGTTCAAGTCTCTTCTGAAAGAGGGAAGAGTCACTCCTTCCAAAAAGAAAAAAAATTACGCCATCTTATAGAATTTTTTTTTCTTCTATAACTCCACATGAGGTTTCAGCTCGTAGCTTCATGTATAACCAACCCCCCTGAGATCACTGGTTTCCCGTTCCCCGGTCTCTATGCCCTCCACCACGTACATTTAGGAAATATACATTTTCATTCATTGATTTTCAAGCTCTGCTGGTCCCATTCTAATGGAAATCCTGTTGAAGCAAGAGGAGGAGCGTCCTCCAATGTCTTCATCCTGGGACAACGGACTCGAGCTCAGCAGGTGGGATGCCGAGCCTCGAATGACAAAGCCTCACGACGCAGTCGTCCCACCACGTTCGAAGTCTACCGATTAGTCTTCCGCCGCCCATCTACGAGAGACTCTTTTTGAGAGTCTCTCGTAGGGCATGCGGCAGACGAGTCGGAACCCCTCGACGGGAGATCTCTCGATCCAGAGTAGCTGCTCGACATTGTGGCTTTCATGGATGCAGTACTTCGCATCCTATCGCTGCGCGTAACGCCGGCCACCCGATATGAGAACTTCATTGCAGCCGATTTCATTCTTTCGATCGTTACCCAAAGTTGGAGGGCATAGAAGAGAATGGGAAGATAAGAAAACCGAGAGTTTCGTCCCTCGAGGAGTTTCCGATTTGGCAATCACGGTCCGTCAGAGTTCCGGGAAAGGTAGGCAGACTTCCTGGCTAATTCTTTCCCATTGGAATCTCTTTGACGCCTCTTCGGCTGGAGGGAAACTTTCTCTCGGGCAGAGAAGGAAGAAAAGGGAAGAAAGAATGCGTGGGGGAGGTGGCGAGAGGTGAACCACGATCTAGATGTGGAAGGGAGGGTTTTCACGACCCCGTATATCCCTGCCATGACAAGAGGGGAACTCATCTGTATGAATCCTCTGCCAGATATTCTCCCCTCGATTCTTTCTTCTCCCGTCTCACGGTTTCAGTCACGCCGCGTTAAGGCACGTGTCATAACGTGGAGATTCGTACGAAAGGTAAACGTCATTCATCGTCGTTCCATGAATCCAAGCGCCGTCTCTCGGTGAATCGCATTGCGTGTCCCGATGCGATCCTCGAGCCACTTGATGCGCCTCCAAGGCTTCAGTTTCCAAGGACTCTCGGGGTGTGCAGAGGCAAGGTAGGGGAGAGATTTCCCAATGCAAGGACGAAGGCTCATCTCAGTCTAACGCACGTGCACGCCCATCCGGAACATGGCAACACTCGAGCGAAGAGTGAAACCGATGGGATTCAATGTTGCGTGCCAAAAAGGCGCAATCATGCGAAAAGAATGACGGGTCTTTGCGCAACGATACCTCGATCCAAATATATAGACCGGAAATGGCGAATCACTATCGAAATTAGCGCTGTTTTTGACGGCTGGGATTGGCATAATTGCACGGTTCGTAGAGAGTGGAAATAGCCAACAGCCATAACGAAACCGAGAGTGAGGGGGAATTTTCTCGAGTCATTGTCCTAGATACAATGATGCTACTCATGTCGCTTCTTTATCTCTTTGTTCCCAGATGGCTTAATTGTAACGGGGATGTCGACATAGCCATCATCATCGGCCTAGGTGAGGAGGCAAAAATGTTCAAATATTTATGCAGAAATAATACACTTCCCCGTGGAAAAACGTAGCGGTGGAGAAGCGGAGAAGAAAATAGGAAATAGGAAATAGAAAACTAAGGAATAGGAAATTACTCGCCTATCTTTCATACGTCTTTCTGCCGAGACCCCATTAAGAGTCGTCATATGTATTATACTTAATCGAGCAGACAGAGAGAACTTTGCAATGATATATAATTTGCTCTCATTTCGGCACGGAAGTGCAAACAATGAAAGGGAAAAGAAAGGGTGAAGAAGCACTCGAGGAGCTCTCTCTTTTTTCTTAACGGTATGCTTGAAATCGTGCATATGGGCTTCACGCGACCGCGCTTTATATTGTATTTTAAATTTGATAACGGTCTCAAGAAAGGACCTTTCTTGCATGGAATACAGCTGATCTAGGGCTGGAAATCGAACAATCTTACGACTTGAGTGACTCCAATATTAGACGAGTTCGACAAGCGGTTATGAGGACGGGCTAATGAAAAAATGTTTAGATCGGTTTGGCTTAGTTAGTATCTCCTCTGCTATATGTAAGCGGCTGCAACAAATAAGCTTAAGGCAAAAGGGGAGTGCCAAAAAAATAGCTTAATCGTCAATATAAGAATGTGACTCTAGGCTACTGTTTATAAAGTAAACAACTCTGGCAAACGTAATGTACAAATGCTCATTTCTGGTTTGACGAAACGACTCCTTACACAGACATTGAGTAAGCCTGCCTAACTTGGGCATTCCCGGGTTCATCACAGAGAATCGTAAAAAAAAAAGAAAATCGCTTTGTAGTCGAGCTAAAAATGCTAAGGATACATTCCTGTTTCTGATTAAACCAACTTAAACGACTTCGATATTTTTTATGGACGAGAACTTTTTTCTATCAATAAAGGAACTCGTAGACGTCGACGGTTAAGAAAGTTAAGAAAGAAAAACTTCTCACCAAGAAATCGTTTGACCGGTTAGTTTAACAAGTATGCACCCTAAAAAAAAAGCCTCAGAATCGGCACTGAAAACTCTTCTCGCGAGAAAAAGCCTAAGAGATAGATGTTTGTCGTCTTGTGTCACCGCCACCACCCCGAGAAGAATCACAGGCAAGACGGAGAAGGAGACACAGTAGCACGGAAGATGCAACAAGAACGGCTTTTTACAGCCACGTCTCACCGAGAGCGACGAGCACCAGCCACCTCATGGTATTCCGTATAGACCCTATCCGCCGGAGAGGCAGGTAAACAGAAGAAGACTTGCCGCGTGCGGAGACGAGAATGCGAAGATGTGCAGGGAGAGGAGCAGACTTTTATACTTGCAATTATAGGGGAGCCTGGGTTATGTCATCCTTGCCCCAAGATAATGATGAAAGGATGAGAGGGAGAGGGAAGGCGCGATGCTCGAGGAAGATTTCAAGTTCAAACCAATGAGTCTGGACTGACTTTCACTCTCGGAGCCCAGACCCTGCGAAGGACGGCCCCATCCAGTCGTCTTCGCCTCCCAGCCACTGAAGGTTCTCATCCTCCCGCTCTTCGCGATCATCACTCCCTCATTCTCTTTTCATCGTTCCCTTTTCTCCTCAGATGCTGGCAAAGCATCAAGTCAATCGTTGCGTTGACCAATTACTCCTACCTATGTATTTTTTTTATAGTTTATCAATGACTATCAACTGAGTGGATCCTTCCTGGATCGAGCCCTCCCTCGCGCAAGAAGACTAACAAAGTTGAGTTTCAGAGGAAAGTAGCTTTATTTTTTTTTTTACACCAAATTCGTTTTTACCCCTCAGTCATCGTAGAAAGGCTAAGAGGTTACTGCATGAAAGCATAAAGTTGTTGGCGACGTCACACCCTGGAAGTGGAAATCCGCTCGCTATCACTTTGGTCTACGGTCCATTCTGTTTCTAAAAGAGTGAATTCAGAGAAGGTAAAGTATTGAGAATAGGACTTCTATTTCCTAACTCACTCCAAAAGGTAAACTGCTTTTTAAATCACTTGGATTGCAAAATGACTTAATTGAATTGTTTTCTTATTTACATTTGCTGTAGAAATAATATTGAAATACCTGATATTTCAAGGTTTTTAACATTGGCCAAGCATGAATTTCGCCCTCGCCGGTGATTTCTTGGTAACAAAACCACCTGGTTCATCCCATAATTTCCAATCCCAGAACCCTATTGTACTTACCGTGATGGAAGGGGTACCTGTAAAATGTACATAGAAAGAACTTAAAGTATTTGAGAAACATTGATTCTCGAGTGCACTTACTATGCGAATAACTGGGCGTTCAGGATGAGTCGTACGCCATTCGTCGTTCGTCGTTATTCACGAATGAAAAGCTCTAGAATCTAGTCTAGATCGACACGGAACAACTAAAGAAGCCTGGTTTGCGCGCGATCTTTAAGACGACTCGAGACTATTTCTATAGGTAGGGTAGCCTAACGTTTGGAAACAAGATTAGGGCTGATCATAGACGATCCGCTCGAGGAATTTATCGACACGTGATCCATTCACACGACCGCAGTAATTGGCGAGGCGTCTGTTCGCTAGCAGCCAAATCGTTTTTGGAATGGGTCGTCTGGGAATTGTGGCTAGAGTTTTGCCCACCGATCAGCTTGTAAGAGTCGAGGGCTATCCCTAGCCTTTATGGACCGCACTTTCCGACTTGGTCAACTCTTTTCGTGCAACGTAGGCTCCACACCCTGGGCACTTCACAGTTATTCAAATTTTTCCCCGCAGAAAAGCGAAATTTAAACCTGAAACTAGTCGAAATCGGACGATGAAAGTACTTGTACTAAATTCATCGGTTGTTACAATTCTTGCAATAACTAAGTTTCCGCACGCTAAAAAAGAAACGTTGGTATAAACTTTTTATCAAGAGTCACAACTTTCTGAAGCGAGTTTCCATGCATGAGTACACCTTACCACTGGCATACAAGAGTAGAGCATTACGTGGGGTCTCCACTTTCCATCTTGTGATCAAAAGCAGTACTGTTGAAGTGTGACATAACTTGGATGATAAAACTTCCTGACAATTCCTCATGACAGTCATGAAAAAAGATGGGTGGAATTGAAATGGAATGAGTACCCTGTTGTGAAGGAGATGGTGTTACCGAAATCAGCCATCACTTTTCCGGAGGAGACTTATCTTTCAAAATGTCCGGAATGATACATGATCGTGAGAAGAGGACCTGAGTCATGTTTTTAAATCGAATCTTCCGCCCTTCAATCGACCCTTCCTGGAATCGCTGAATGAAAAAAAAAAACGTGAAGAGCAAAATCCCTCTTTCCTCACATGCTTTGACCGTCACACATCCTTTCCAACTTTTCCTCGTACGCCGTTATTTTCTCGCCTTGAAAAAGGCGAGAAAATAGAGTGGCAAAGTTGTAAATGTGAAAAATTTCCTTCCGTGCAAAAATTCAGATCCCATTCAGGACCTGCAATGTGAGGGAAATGTTACTTCAAGAGTCAATCGTAATCGACCTGCAAATCCATGCCATATTACGACTTTATACAAGACGACACGCTGAATAATTTTTTGTCATCCTTGCCCTGAAAGGATTTCTTTAGCGAGTTGTCGACAACTTTAAGGCTGTCGTTTCCGACTCGGCATTCGCACGGAAATGTCGAAAATCTTCCATTTGATCTCGGACGTTGAAGGTGAATCCGGCGAATATTCCATCCAGCTCCAGAACTGACGATGGAATTTTCTCTAATCCCATGCCTGTCTCGCAGCGCGACGGTCCTGTTACCCTCGATTCCAATTCCTTTTCGAGGATTGCAGGACTTGATTAGGAGCTTCTTCTTCACTCGAACGACCGAACAGCCCGTTAGAACCACAAGACGTCATTTCGTAAGACTTGTAAGGCTTAAATGTTACAAGTAGTTGGCGGACTTTGGATTTGTGGACTGGTAACATGCAGTACTTGCAGGTAAAAAAAGAAAGCTGGCTATCAATATTGCTGCTCTCAGGCAACGAGAGATTCTTTCTCTTGTCTGGACTCTTGCCTAAAGCGGAAGAATTAATTTTCAACAGACCCGTCGGACATCACTTTTGAAGCAACCCTGGTCAAGGTCGATGATTTGGACTCTTACGAGTCTCGTTTTGAACGGCCCACACGAACGGCAAGCTTCCGTTTTCTCTGTTTTAAAGCGATCATTTTGAACTCGCTAACTTAGCTGCGTGACGCAGCTGGCGTTATGCTGGGATCTCCCCACCGCAAGTTCATTTGGGGTCGGAGTTCTCTCGACTAAATTACCGGGTGCAAGTAAATCGGGCCGACGAGAACAGAGATGCACATACCTGACATTAATGCTATTTATGTTCAGGGACAGGAAATATCAGAGTAAAGATCAACCGAGAGAGTCTTGCGAGAGTACGTTCAACGGCTGTCTTGGATCGGGGCTCGAGCTCGCATATATCCGTTGTCGATCAATCGTATCCATCTATCTTTGGATGCCTTCAGGCCCGCATCCGTCACACGACGTCCCAGTCCCACGGCGCATTCAAATTGTCAGGCTTGAAAGTGTTATCTGATTCGTGGTTGGGTGCAGTGTCCAGTCTTCGCTCGTTAACGATCGTGCATGAGTACCGTCTCTTCTCTAAGGCGTCTTTTCATGATCGATTGAGCAAGCGTTTATTGCGACATTTATCATTCGTTTCCAATACATTTGCTTTCCGAATTTTATTTTTTAATTTCCGAAGGTAGCCCAATTGCTTGAAGCAGCTGGTCCTCGATTTGCTCCAGCAAGTGGTGAATCGCTCTCTGGATCCGGAGATCTGGAATCATGCCATATAATGCTTGTCGTCGTTTCTCCGCATCTTTCGTCCCCACTCGCAAAACACTGATACGATCGCGGTATTAAATTTGAACGTCAGCGAAACCATATGCTTTGTCTTGTCGCGATGTGCGACCCCCTCCAGCCATTTCCACCTATATTTACGTCCTTGGTGGTCGACGCATGTAAATGCCCTTAGCTAATGCAATCTGCAAGGGAAACTTCGCGTGCCTCGAAACTTTTAGTTTTATTAACGCATTAAAGCGTCTGATGACACGCTGAGGAAATCCTTTACACGAATAACGTTTTTGCACATCATTTCGTGTCTGTTGCGAGTCATGATCCATGAAATCTCTACCCCACTCCTGGGTTTGGCAGATCGTCATATACACTTGAATGCATTTTTCATTTCTGGGGGAACTTTACCGTTCTTCTGCGTGATTCCCTCTGCGGTAAAAATAAATTACCGGAAGTAACAAGTTGCTACTCCGTGAAGCACCAGATGATTCATCGATCCAAGTTCATACCTGGCCTGCCAATCGATGAAAAAAGTTGATAGAGTAATCGTGATTAATACGTGGTTTAATCGAACTTTAATGGAACCCCTACTTTACTCTCAGAATGTGGCGAATAGAAGATAACATGCTGGATTCAAAATTGATTGCTGTCCCGCGCAGGCGGCCCCTATACTTGCACGGAATCGGGTCTGACGGGATGGAAGGATCTTTGGCTTTGGGACAAGAGTATTGAGAAAGTACACGCTGTCAGCTTTCCACAGTTATCCAAGCTGCCTCTAGGGTAAAAAGGGGGAAAAAAAGAAACACTAGTCTGTTGCGCACTTGAGGGGGGAGAGGGGGGGGGGGGAGAAGGGGGTGGGGGGAGGGAGAGGGGGGGAAGGAGCAGGGAATCGTCCTTCCCGCGCATCACTTTCTATCCATTATCCTCTTTCTTTCTTCCTTCGGCTTTTCCTTCCTTTCGTCTTTTTAAGAGGATTCACCCCGAGTACTCATCATGATCCCTAACTGCATTTTGTGTTAGTGCCATCATTCACATCCTCTCGATTTCGTCACATATAAAAGCTTGGCAATTTAATCGTGCTTGGAGTGCACAATTTTCGCACAGTTTCATTGATGTGAAAATGGCAGTTCAGTTGCATTTCGGTTCTACAGTAGCTTCAGTTCAGACTGGTTTGACTGAGGTTCCACCGTGCTCTTTTCGACTTCTGTCGCAAATAAATCCCAGCTGGAACTGCAACTGAGCTAAAACTGGAACTGAACCTTTATTGTACTGCGACTAGACGGCAGTTTTGAAGTCAGCCATTATCAAATAACTTGGAAAAGGTGTCCTGTCATTCACCAACGCAAATCGAAGCGTCTTTTCCCCGCTGGAATTATCTGTCATTACCTTCAATGGGATCGCGTACGTTGAAGTAGCCCATGGGCCTGTTATTTGCATTAGCTAAATCCAAGTCTATATCATATGTCCAAGTTTTAATCTGAATCTAAAAATAGTGTGAAAACTTATCGTAGCAGGTTCGAGAGCATTCTTTCCTGCGGTCAGGGCATTTTATTATGAATATGGATATGGGAGCCATCTCCCAGGAAATGACGGACTTGTAAGGCAGAAGATAAGAATCCGCTCCGCTCGAGCATGCTGATGAAATCAGCGCTGAATTTGGAGGGACTTTCGCCGGCCTCCGATGGAGCGAAGACAGAATCTCGTACTCGTATATTTAGCCAAGATTGCAAGGATATTGCGATTCGAGT